ATATTTTAATGTTAGTATTTTTAATATAGTGTAAAGACAAATGTATATTGCTGGTCTTTGACCGTAATAAAGATCTTATATACTTTTTGTTTCCTTTTTAGCTTTTTGTCATTTTTGAATGGCACATAGATATTATTTATCTCTATGTAACTTGATGGACAATTTGTCTGAGTGCCAGACTTCCAGGAATTCTCTAGAGTTTTTGGATTTGGTTTGATCTAGGATGCTCATGATTTCCCAGTTGAAACTATGGTTAAGTCTGTCCATGTGTTGTGAAATTAAGGAATTTTCACCATGTCTTCTGACTACTAGTTGGTAGTCATGGATGCGTTCTGCTAGTCTTCTGCCTGTTTGTCTAATGTAGTGGCTGTTACAGTCCTGTATATTGGAGATCAGGGATCCCCAACCCCTGGTCTGTGGATTGGTACTGGTCTGTGGCCTGCTGGGAACTGGGCCATGCAAGCAGCGGGTGAGCATGCAAAATGCCACTTGCACAAATGGCAGACACCTGCACTAAAACACGACGCACGCCCCCCCACCGCTGCTGCTGCCGCCACTGTTGGTCCAGGAAGGTTGGATACCGCTGTTATAGATGATTCCTGGATTTTTTCCTAGGGCCTCTGGGTCTTTTGGTTTACTTAGGATGTTTTTGAGGTCTTTAATTGGTTTGTGTGCTACAGCGATAACTCAAAATTGTTTGAAAACTGAACTCCCTAGTTGATTAATTGCAGGATAACTGGAAAGACAAAGATATAAATGTCTGTTCATAAACAAAGTCATTTGTTCATTTAACCTTTATTCTGTTCCATACCTTCATGCATAGATTGGCCTACCTCAGAAAACACATTTTTAGCAGCTACTGTAGTAGGTAAAGCACCAGGCTAGAAATCGGAAAACTGTGAGTTTTAGTCCCCTCTTAGGCATGAAAGCTCTCTTAGCCCAACTTACCTCATAGGATTGTTGTTGAGGGGGAAACAGGAGGAGGAAGGAGTATTAAGTATGTTCACCATCTTGAATAATTTATAAAAATAATAAAGACAGAATTTATAAAAACTAAAAAAGAATGCAAGGCTCCTTTCAAAGAAAATGTAATGATAGTTTTGGATCATCCCAGAATAGAAATGTTCCCCCATTTTATCAACCATCTCTTTTCTCATCTCTTTCCTTACATCTCAGGCTGTGGAAAGACCTACACCATGCTTGGCACTGATCATGAGCCTGGCATTTATGTCCAGACACTCAATGACCTCTTCCATGCGATTGAGGAGACCAGCAATGACATGGAGTATGAAGTGTCCATGTCCTATCTGGAGGTAGGTCACTTTGAAGGGGTCAGAGAGGAAAATGAATGAATGAATGAATGAATGAATGAATGAATGAATGAATGAATGAATGAATGAATGAATGAA